GAACAGCCCTGCCTCAGAGAACAGGCTTCCTAGTGGACTGCAGACGGAAACTTCTCTTGTCCTCAGCAGGATAAGCCTGACACTATCAGAAAGAGAATGTAGCAGGTGTTGTCAGTCTGATATGTCTGCTTCATCATTTAATTTCGTACAGCCAGAGCATTTAGTTCTTTCTTTGCAAGCAGTGGCAAATCTAATGTGATTTTCTAAAAAAGTTCCCACAACAATCTGTAATGGTATTTCACATACTTTTATTTCTGTTTCAACATACCTGTCCATTTGACAAAATAGATATAACCAAGGATAAAAGCTAAATTTTCAACTCTCTCTCTCAATTTGTTTCAAGATAGGGTTAAAGCTTCTTACTAGCTGCTCCTGGTTCTTCATTTGATCAGCTGCCTGCTTGGCGAGAGCAGCTTTAGCTTCTTCAGCTGCTCGACGGTCTCTCTCCAGGCGCTCTGCTTCCTCTTTTGCACGCTTTCGTTCCTGATCCAGTTCTAGAGCTCTTCTCGTCTGTTCCTCCAGCTCTGCCAAAAGGAAAGTTTGCAGACAAAGTATCACTACCTAGCTCTTCTTCAGATGTAAACCAGCTGTAACTGCTCAAAATAAAGTAACCCCGAAAGCCAACAAAGATTTACAAGGTTTCTGCAAGCTAAGAAGAGCTGTTGAACGTGCTACCTGAAGCCATGCTCTGTGTCTGATCCCCCGCCCCTTCCCCCCAAGATATATTTCTGATACACTTCATCTCACCTGACAGTTCTGACAAGACAGTGTTTCAGAAAATTATCACCTTGCTGATAAAACTAAACACTCAAATATACATACATGCACATATACCCTCACTCTTCCTACTGAGATGCTTTTATGTACATGTAAAAAAGCAGAAAAACCTCTTCTACTCTATTCAAATGTCTGACAAAGATTCCTTAACTGCAACAGACAATTTAGGCCTGTGTCTCCAGCAAAATTACCTAAGATGCACTGAAAGGCCCAGAAAAATTCTCCATAGAACAGAGCCAAAAAGGTGCAAACAGAATAATTTTAAATCAAGGGAGGGATAATAGTTGTCCAGCTGCCTGGTTAGCAAAAAATTGCTATCTAAAGGGCAGAAGCCTGAGTGAAACAGGAAGAAGTGATAATCTACCCATACTGCAAGGTAAGATTTGCACAGGCAAAATACTCCTCTGATATGCAAAGTGAAGTGATCATAAAAGAAAGCCTTTCTAAAGCTTCTTCCTGATTCCAATGATAAATTTCCCACTGTGTTTTTGTCTAGGCATAGCTGCCACAGATTCCTTCACCAGAAAACCTAAATAATTTCTTTGTTATTAGAATGATCCATGTGCCCTTCACTATATGCTTTAATACTAAAAAACCACCTCCTTGGCTATGCTGACATATACTTAATCTTTGCACTTGTCATTTTAAGTAGGTCTCATGTAATCAATATTCTTCAGTTGGTTTCCCAGGCCTACGACTTCAGTTATAAAACTAAATGAACAGCATTACAAGCATGTGGCGTTGTACAAATGCAGTACTTGGAAAATGAAATAAATAAAATGCATAACTATTTTAAAACACTACTCAAACAAACTCTTGTTGGTAGTTAAGCGTTCTCCGGCTTCATAAGTCAACTACAGAATGCTGCCACCATTTATATAAACACTTTCCATATGTCAATAGAAAGCTAAAAAGACCAGCAACACATGAACGTTATGTATTGCACCAGAAATTAGGCTATATTGCTTACAGAAGTCACGAGGAAATGAACATTGTTAAACCTTTAGAATCACCCTGATGCCATTTTGTCCTGGGCTAAAATACTTCTCCCTTAAAAAACCCCAAGGCACGATTCGTGTGTTACCTGTCTGGATGTGTCTAACCTGTTCTGCATGAAAGACTGAAAAATACAGGGGCAGAGCCGGCGAACAGTGCCAGGCATGTGTAATTTATTTGCATAGATTTAGTCAGTAATTCTCTCTGAGCCAACAGTTATGAACAGAGCAGAGGAACAAAGCGTATTTATAAATGTGAACCAAACCTGAAGCAAAAAAAGAACATGGAGAGGAAGGACTGGGAAGTACTGGAGGCAGGGACTCCACAGGGTGGTTCAACACAAAGAACTGTGATTGATGAATCTATGTTTATTCACTAAAATCTGACAAGATTTTCATTTTATAATTCTCAAATCTTGCAAGGAAATTGGAAAATGAAAGAACATGGAATTTCCAAACGAAAAATTAAATTCAACTAAATCCTTGAAGTACTCTGAATCACCCTCTCTAATTTCCCTGTTCCCTCCACCTCCAGATTTTCAGCATTTCAAGCATTTCATAATTCTGGGTTGAACTATGCATGCATTAATTTCCTTTTTATTAAAAAAACCTGAAACTTTTGCTACATTAGGAATTGGTTTTATGTTACAAATATACACACAGATGCACACACACCGTCTTTTAACATGGAAAAAGAATCTCTCAAATTGAATATACCACTGAATTCCTGTTACTGTTAAAGTAAATTAAAACAACAAAACAAAACAAACCCAAAATGAAACCACAAAAACAACACATACCAAAAGAATTGTGGAACTGAACTACTCAAATTGACTAAACATTGTCATGAGATATAAGTAGTCCAGGATCTGTAAAAGCTCACCTTTCTGAGCTTTCATTGTCTGTTCCTCGATTTGCCTTAAGCGTTCCATTAATTCTTCCTTTTCACGTTCTATTCTCTCCTTTTCCTTTTCTGCTATCTCCCTTTTCTTCTTCTCATTTTCTAATTGTGCCCTGAAAAAAAACAGTAAAAGGTCTTTTTTACCTCAGATTAAATTCTCCTCTAAGGATGCTGGTAGCCTATTTCTCAGTTTACTCAGCTAGCAGAGAAGCACATAATTTTAAAATGTTTCAAATTCAGTTTATAACGCAAGAACCAAGTTGCTGTTTAAAAACACTGTACAGAAACAATTTATGAACAGAACTGATTAACAACCTTGGTTATGGTTCAACCAGGTAAATGCGTAATTATACGTGCATTTTAGACGCGAGTGATGTTTCATCTGGGCTAGAAATGGCAACAGGATTTTTTAAATGCACAAAGGGTAAGACATGACATTCTTCACTGAACTTAAAGGTTCACCTGTAGAGTACAAAAGTCCCTAAGGATCAAGCAACAGAGAGTTAAGACTGTTTCAGAAAAACATGAGAAACAACGGTACAGCTGTTACCATGCTGAAAGTTCAAAAAAGATACGACTTTCTATAAAGAGAGGCGAGCCGTGCCAATCCGCAAACCTGCTTACACGTTACAGGAAGAAAAGCAGCTCTCTCTTCTAGAGTGCCAAGATGTCTGATTTTCTATGGCTTAGTTTTCTTAAAAGGGTAGAAGAATTGTTTCTGTTTCACAGAAGTTTGTTAATTACCTTTCCAATTGTTTCTGATGTTTCTCTTCTCTAGCTTGGGCCTTCATCTGCTGCACTTCAATTGTATCAGGTTTCCTCCTCCTCATGTACAATTCATGATTTCCCATACACAGTGCCAAAATTCGCTTGTTAATTCTCAGACGGGGTGCATAAAAAACGAAATCCTAGCAAACATAATTGCAACATATCCATTAATCTAAAAATACAATTGTGACAAGACTCAAAACAATACTGCATGCTTGCATTTGATAAATTTAAACTTACAAGTATTTTGACATTCATCCTCTGAGCAATCCAACACCATAATCTAGAAATCTAGTTCCTGTCAGGAACTTGCAAGACAAATTCAAAATTACACCTGGGTTCCTCCATGTAGAGGTCAGCTAGTTTATAGAAAATTATTTATTTAAACTTCTAAAAAAGTGACACTATGTTCTACTCTATTTCTGAAAAATCTTGACCTAGAAAGGTCTCATGAAGTGTGCTGCTGTAATTAAAAAAAAGAAAAACAGAGGGGAGGGGCACAGAATTTAGCTTACACTGTGGCTTTTCAACATAATCACAAAATACTAGTTCACTTAAATTAAAAAAAAATAAATCTTAAGAGTATAAACTGGAATAAAAAGAGAAAAAGATGTCTTTCAAAATAAAAATTTCCTTTTGATTACTGACTATTCTACCAATGAGAATAATAAATGTCACAAAACATTTCCTCATGCCATAATGCCAGAGCAAGTCCCCACAGGCTTAAATCTTTTCATATACAAAGGCACACTATTCTAGACACTACTTACAGGGGCCTTTTTGTCAATTGGCTTTATGACAAATTTTTTGTCGTTAAACGAGATGTTTCTTATTTCACTCCAAGGAAAACCAATCTTGGGTGTCAGCCTTCAAAGAGAAAGGGTTCTCATTAGAAGCAGCAAAGATGTCCATTTTATTTATATCAACTAAGTCTTAAGTCCAGGCCATTTTCACTATCACACTTAGCTATATTTACAACACGTAACAACGGTTCGACCAAAATATGCTTGACAATTTTTTTATTTTTTTTTACACATTATTCCATCAAATGATTAAATTACATGGCAATGCAACAGAATGAATTTCAATTTGTGACTTATTCTACTATCGTTAAATAGATGCCAAAAATCACAAGCATGTACTGATTCTTAATAAGCTATTGATAGTTTTATTTTCAGTGAAAACAATAGCTATTTAGATCTGACAAAAGTCCAACATTTCAAAGACTAAAATTAAATTAGCCTTCAGCAATGTTGTACTTCGGTTTAACTCAGCTGTAAGAGATGTGTTCTTATATTTCCAAAGTTCAAGTTAAATTTATTTCCATTGCATCTTAAGTAAATAAATTCAGTTCAGAAACCATTATAGAGTTGTGCACCAATGCAAAACTGTAAATATTTTTCTCCATAAGCACAGAAAGTTTTTTCTATTCATATTATCTTAGTATCACAGAACCACAGAATCACAGAACATTA